ATCTGTTTTTTTTTTATATATATATACATATAAAACTCTGTCCGTCGATCTCTATAATGTGTATACATATATAATAAATATATTTAATATATATATATATATATAATATATATATAATAGGTTCTGCGGCCGTTAGCCGACGGTCTACTGTATATAATAATATCATAGTGGCATCGGTTCGTAATGAACCTGAAACGAGTTTTACCTTGAAGTCTATCGAGGTGTGCCGGACAAAAACCTGACTGTACACGACTATTATACATAGGTATACGTATCGAGGGGGAGAAAGAGAGAGACCTCCGAACCGACCAATGCCACGACGACGACAACGGCGGCGACGACGTTAAAATACATATCACAATTTTTATTTATTTTTTATGTATAACGTCAAGTTCTTTTGACCGGCTCGTCGGACGTGCGTCACAATACAATAATAATATATATAATATTGCCCCCCCCCCCACAACCACCGAAATCACGACAATATTATGTAAACCGCGGTTAAGACACGTCTGGTCGCGCATTCGTCGTGTCGCGACCAGTAGGTACAATATTTTTGGAGCAATACTCGTCGATACTTGGTTTTTAGTATTTTCGCGAGGATTCGTGAAGCCGTCGGCGAAAAACCCCACTTACACGAGAGAAAATATAATTAAGAAAATAATTCGAGGCCGCGCGATTTTCAGCGAACGTTCGGGCGCAGGCAAAAGCGATCGCTAAATGCGTCTACCAACGACAGTATTAATAATAATAATAATATTATGGACATGACACGACATCGCGACTGGTGAGGTACGGCGGCGTCTCGAGGACAGACCGGAGAGCGTTTATACGTATAATAATATTATATACACTCAGAGACACGTATTATTGTACGCGTTATATCATATTGCTCTCTACCTATAGACGGTTACGTTTTTTCTCAAAAAAAAAAAAAAATAAATAAAAAATAAAAATCGTTATAAATAACAGAATATCCTTTATCCGGTTATAATGTTATATGCGTCCGTTGTTGCGGCCGAGGCCGTCGCCGTTCGGTGTCCTTTGGCGCGCCCGCCCACCCGCCCATCATCGCCGCGGCCACACTGCTAGCGGTTATATTCGTCTATACGTATCGTATATAGGTAGGTAGGTAGGTACTTATGTTATATATTATTGTGTGCATAATATTACGCTGCCGCAGACAGGACAATGGCACTGAAAATTTACGGCCGAAAACTATTTATAATAATATAATAATATCGTGTGTTATATTTTATTTATGACGCGTTTTGTATTATTGCACGTCATAGAAAATCGCGGACTACTCGCGGTGGAAAAAAAAATACATCAGCCATAATTTGCCTATTTATTTCAATCGACGAGTTTTTTAATGGTTTTTTTTTAGCATATAATACACATATAGGTTTTTATGATACGCTCGTGGCGCATAACGGGCGGCGTCTAAATTAGGTATAGCAGCCTACGTGGCGTAGCATGTTTTTTTAAAAATAATTTTCCTATACATCTCTGATCGTCGTACAAAGTTCGCTTATTGTCCGAGGAGGATGTAACTCCTCGCCGAGTCCAACGCCCGCCGCGTCTCAACAATATTACGACGTACACGAAACGTAATTTTCTAGGATCGAAGAAAATTACACACAGACATCATGTTTAGAGCAGTTATAGCGTCCTAACGAAGTCGCTTTACCTATTCTGCGAAAGATTCGCAAACAGGTACATTACTCTATGTGTAATATCGCACCCATCGCATGGCGCGGGGTTATGTAATTATTGTTCGACGCACTAGACAAACATTACACACCGAAAACCGAAAACGGTCGGCGTTATTAATTTTTTATTCAGGTATTTACCAGCGACCCGTAAAAAACACACACGACTTCATGTGTATGCGTCGCGCCTACGGCATCGTCCGGCTCGTCGTTTTGTCGCCCGACCATATTATATTATATACATACGCATGCACACAATATATACATTACAATACGCGTGTATGTAAGTGTGCATATAATGTGTGTGTGTGTGTATGTGTGTGTGTGTGTGTGTGTGTGTGACGGCGGCGTGTACCGTTATAATACGCGGCCGCTCGTCGTGCCCGGCGGAAGAGAAGAAGAGTGTGTCGTTCGCCATTATGATTTCGTAGTACAATAATAATAATAATAATAATATAATAACGTAATGCATAATGCGTGTACGGTTTTTTTTTCTTTCAGTTTTTAGTTTTATTTTGCCCTCTCTCGCAGAACGTCCGTCCCACGCGGGCCAAAAAACAAAAACGTAGTATAATTCACAGAATGAACATCAGTACACACGATCGCGGGACGACATACCCATAACGCCATAGACCTACGCGCCACTATTGCAATAATAATATTAAAATATTTAACATGGTAATAATATACGGGCGAGTAACACCCACATTCGTTTACTATTCCGTTTCCGTCGTCGGGCGGGAATATACCGTACGGTTGCGGCCAAAATCCGTCCAAGGTCGGTGTTTTAAAAAAAAAAAAAAAAAAACATTTTTCGGGGTTCTCGACTGCGCATAGGTACGCCGCGGTGGAGGCAGCGCCGAACATATTAACTCGTTGTATAATATACGCACACGAGCACGCGTGTCCCGTAAAAAAAAACGTATACCTAATAATAGGTACCTACCTATGTGTACGAAATATTCGCACTCGAGTCACGTAGGTATATATCGTCGATTGTGTCGTCCCGATTGGCGGCGGTGGCTGGCGCGCGGTGGTGGCGGTTTGATTTCGAATGGCGATAAAATTTAAATTATACGCGCGCACGTTATATACGTTCATACACACGCACACACGCACACAAGTGCACACACACACACACACACGCACACGCACACGCATGCGTACACACACACACGCACACATGTACATATATATATATATATATATATTATAGCTAGGCACCACCGTCTCTGTGCAGCAGCGCGCACGCCGCCGTCGGAGTATGATATTTTGTCCTTGGGAGATTTTAACGACCGACCATTATGTTGTAGCTGGCGCAGACGTGAACTTTGCCTTGAACTTGGTTAATGATTTGAAATTCAGCAAGTATTTCGCAGCACGGTTATACCTATATATACACACACACACACACACACACACACATATATATATATACCTATATAATAGCGTCGTGTATTGTGTACGCGTATATTATTATGATCACACACTGCACACACACGCTCGCGTACACTAACAAACTCGCTCTCCTACACACACACACACACACACACACACACACACACACACACACACACAAACTCATACACACGCGCACACAAAAGTACGTGTACACGTTTCGATGGTGTATGAAATAAAAAAATAAAACAAGTTTTGCCAGTCACGCTTTAAGATTTGTTCACACAAGCCACTCGTCGGCGGCATTGATTCGGATATACGTAGTCGTGAAAAACCGGCGAACTGCAGCCGTTGTGCTGCCTGCTGTACACCTACCCATACCTATATAATGTATATTATATATTTGAATATTGTTGTAAACGTAACGAAATTCAATGGCCGCGAAAATCCGATTTAATTGGTTACCGCTGAAAATTGTACGCTTTTTGCTCTTTCTGGTGTGCTGAAGTGAAATAAATAAAAAAAAAAAAACACGACCGTCACCATTACGGTGAATAATCTCCGAGGTAAATGTTGCGGGTCGGACACAGCTATATTATTAATATATACATACATATATATAATTATTGTATTATATATATAGTGTTTCTGTGCAGGCAACGGCCGAGTGCAACGACATTGATCGTTACGGTCGGCCGCGGTGGCTGGTTGGACGGTTTTTTCCGTTTTCCTTCCGTACCCAATACTTCTACACCGGAACGACGTTTATATATATACACGTGTACCTAGGTACTCGTAGATGACCCAGAATATTTCATTATATTATATAGATATAAGAGAGTTATAGAGCTATAGAGTTTTCACGTTAAACGCGTCCAAGTCGAACGACGCCGATTCGAATCGATGTATTATAATAATATATTATTATTATTGTTTTATACAGGCATTATTGGTGTATTATATTACCTGCTGTACACCAGAGAGTTTCGATATTGAAATACTGCGTTGTGAACGCAGCCTTATTTCTTGACAATCCGGTTAGAACCGTTCGTCCGGTACTCGTGACGCAGCCAAACCCGGTGCTGACTATCGTATTATTATATTATATACTGTGAGTGTATTTTATACTGCACGTCCTACTTCCACCGTGGCTCGTCTTTATATACGCAGAGGCCTCCGCGTGTTTCAACGAAAGTTCACACAAGACTTTGAGGCTCGTAAAAAATTTACGACCCGTTAATATGGAAACTGCGGTATATTTCATTGGACGTGATGATAATATTACATACGTAACGACGTGGCTTAAAAATACCACAAACGCTTTGTTTGACAACACATTTTTTACCCTATTGTTGAACGCGTGGATTGCTATCTGTGACCATTAGATGTAATGAGTCGGGAGGACGACTGTTGAACAATAATAAAACTCGGCCTTGTACGTCGCGCGTTGTTCCTTTTATTTGTCCCGTTTTGTTTGTGCTGTCTGACAATACAAAGACTGCTGGTCAAATACTGTTACAACGGCGATGTGAATTATGGTTTTATTGTAGTCAACAAGGGGTTCGTCGGTAACCCTTTTATATTTAACATGCGCGGCGGTTGTTTATCTTGGGGCGACCACGACCTTGTTGCTGTGTCGGCGCGGCATATAACAATTATCCTTGGACTGGAGACAAACAACAGTCTGGCAGTGGGTTAAAGGGTTTGGGGCGTCGCGCGTTACGTATGTTTGCGATGTTTAAAAAGGGATATTGAATATGACACGGTATACAGGTGCTTGTAATAACAGACCCACCATACGAATGACAATTGATTTGACTTTGGTTAGGCAAATTGTACCATGCAGTGATCTATTGTACGTTTAAACTAATTTATATTTATGTTTTACAGAGAAAAATGTCAACAAGAAAGATCCACTGCAGGACGACGATGAAGAGGTCGACCGAGTAAATTGTTTGGAGCGAGAATCACGAAATAGAGCAGAGTCTCCAAACCACCGAGTTAGTCCAAAGGTGTCGATTGAGACTCCTGCGCCGATCATATGTCCACCATCGCCTGACTGGAACCCACCGCCAAAAAGGCGATTCATATCCACGTCAGATGGCGATAATATACCATACGGTAGTAAAGATAGCTTGCAGGTCACCCATCGGCAATGTGAACCACCCCCTATCAAAGTCGAAGAGGAAGCTGTGGCTAGCCCGGAGGCTGAACCGAAGTTGCCCCCACCACCACCACCACCAGCACCAAAATGTCATCAGGTGTCCGTCATACAGAGAACACCGGCAGCCGTCAAATCACCATCTATCTGCCAGAAAAAAACAGTTACACAGTCTCCGAGCACTGTCCAAGAACCCGAACAAGACGCACCAATCGATTATCATGTGCCCAAAAAGGAAGAAGATTTGGAATTGGACATTGTTCGAGCCATCAAAAACAAATTCACTATTACGCTACGAGGACAGTTAGTTTCAGCACCAAATGGTATTATCACTGCCGCTGCCGGTCGTGGAAGGAGCAGTGGTGGTCAACAAGGTGGAGGCGGTGGGGGAGGTACAAACGGAGGTAGTACCAACTCTAGTTCAAACCGCGGTTCGTCATTGCATTCGTACACACTCGGTGGTGGCGGAGGCGGTGGTCCCACCGGCCTTTTGGGCAGTGGAGGCGGGGGAGGTGGCATGGCCCCAGGTGGTGGAGGCATGAACCCCGGCGGCAACGGCAAGCATTTCGGCGGACCAAACAGTCCTGTGTCGCTGCCGCCCTTTCACGAGAGCCTCATAAAATCGGGTGGCAATTGCTACTCCGCCCAGTACAACAATCAATATCATTTGATGATGACCGAACAATTGTGTTTCAATAACAACGACACAGGTCAAAATCCTGTGGCTGGTGGTGGTGGCCCTTTCTCCATTGGATTGGAAGGTCCACCGAAACAATATTCAATGTTACAAAATGCTTCATCGTTAGGCATAGACATTAAAGAGGACGACTGCGAAGATCTGTCAAGCTACGTAAAAGAAACAAACGGTTTCGACACATTGATGGCTGATTCTGAAAATGGCACATCCAACGATCCTTTGCAGTTCACTGCTACTCTTACTTTCGCAGGCCCTACGGACCCCGACTTCTTAGACAGCCTCAACGACGCCGCTGAATTGTTCTTCAAAGAGGTAAATTTATGAATATATATTTTGGTTTTTAAAAAATGACATAATTGTATCACGCTAACAACCGTACTTGCAATGCATTATGATTAATAATACTAATAGTGCATTAATGCACATAATGATTATCAGTATTTTAATATAATTTCTTTTTCAGCCCCAAGAGTGCATTCCTCCTTCACTCGTCGAACAACCTCTACATATGTTTAATGAACATAGAAACGGGTTTTCCGAGTCACAATCGGAGAAGCGCAATTATCTACAGCAGCAGGTGAACAACAACAATAACGGACAGCCAGTACCATGTAGAAATAGCTATGGAAGTTATGATATATCAAAAGACAGATTATCACAAAGCAGTTTTGAAGACTCCAACCAACAACTGCAACAGTTACAAATACAAGTGCAATTACAACAACCACAAAACGTAGACGTAAGCATACCATTAGTCTAATTTCTCCAACCCCTTACCGTGTATCCAAATCGTTATAACCTTTCATTGTTTTAGGCTTGTGGACAGATGATGTTGTCACCGGGTTTATCGTCGTTAGAGATGGACTCAAATACCAGCATGTCGGCACCATCACCTGCTAGCGTCAGTATGGATGGTACAATGTCCTCACTTACGCCACCGCCTCAAAATGGCAAAGATTCCAGTAATTCCGCTTTGGATGTCAGAGTACTGCAACATAGGGTGAGAAAGACCACCCCACCCGTAGGGAAACCTCAATATTCTTCTTTCTCCAGTAAATCGATGGCAAAAGTACATATTGTTCTTTGATATATTTCTTTATTCCCTTAAACCACCCAGGACTCATTGTGTGTACTCATATTCAATTATTATTTACAGCTCGGCCTTCCTAATGACTTGCCATTCGAGTTTGTTAACGGTGGCCACGGCATTAAGAACCCATTAGCCAATCACGACACTCTACCACCACCACCACCACCATCAATGCTAATTAGAACACCAGAGCCAGAGAGGAGCAATACTTCAGTAGCTCCAGCAACTATCGTATCAATAAATACTACTCCCGAACCAGTCGAAACAACCAAAAACGGTTCAAAGTTCTGTTGCAACCTGTGTTCCAAGACATTCAACCTACAGCGTTTGTTAAACAGACACATGAAATGTCACAGTGACGTCAAACGATACCTTTGTACGTTCTGCGGAAAGGGTTTCAATGATACGTTTGACTTGAAACGACACACTAGAACACATACTGGTACGTTCATTATGTATTTAGAAATATGCAATCAATAACAAGTCTAGGATTTATGATAGGGTTGAATATTATTTTTGAATTGAAAAATAAATAAAGATAGTTGGTTTCACTTTTTGAACAAAAAAGAAAAAACAATCTATTTATAAAGTTATTCGTTATAACTAATAGCAATACAATTGCATAATATCTAAGACATAATTTAAAATCAATGATAATATTATTTTTAATATCAGCTATGACTTATGAGCCACCTAAAGATTTACAATGTAAATTTGTTTTAGAGTTATTATTTTATAGTCGATCTGTAATATTTTAAAACAATTTAAATTAGTTATGTAAACGAAATAAATTCAAACATTCCGATATTTAAAAATCTGTAAACTCGATTATTTCCTCGAATAAAATTGATTAACCACATGAATTAATAAGTTTTTTCTATCAACAGGTGTCCGTCCTTACAAGTGCAATCTGTGTGAGAAATCGTTCACCCAACGTTGTTCACTTGAATCTCACTGCTTGAAAGTGCACGGTGTACATCATCAATATGCTTACAAAGAGAGAAGGACAAAGGTACTTTACATTATCATGCATTTATGCCAGTTATAAATTCAGCAGATGTCATAATATTTACAGTATTTAACGTATATGTTTTTCATTGCAGATGTACGTTTGTGAAGAATGTGGACACACCACCAATGAACCTGAAGTTCACTACATTCATCTCAAAGAGAAACACCCGTACAGTCCGGCGCTGCTCAAGTTCTATGACAAGAGACACTTCAAGTTCACAAACTCAAACTTTGCCAACATGTTGCTTCAAGTACGCACCTAATATTGGGCTGATTGCAATCATATTGCTAGACTGACCAAAATGTTAATCTATTTTAACAAATAATTTTAATTACTTACACTACGTAGAACTTAATTTTTTTAATAACATTTATGCTGTATCATTGTCGTTCAGGAAAAAAAATTAGGTAATAATTCGGAGTAGAAAATATCCCCGCTTAAATATCTCTTACCATTTTGTAACGTCTCAATTGAAAAATATTTTTGTATTACAATTTAAAACCCATTTTACCGATTTGACTCTATATAGTATTTTAAGTTTTTAAGTAAGCCTCTCAGTTATTATTATGGTTGGCCAATATATAATGTATGGTTCTAAGCACAAAAATCTTTGAAAATCCGCACTAATTTTATGTCAGGGTCTCTGTACTTTTTTCGATTTTAACTATGCTTTGTGGATATGGGTGTTCGTAGATAAACCTATGAAATTGAAATACGAATTGAATAATAATAACAATACTAGAAGCACTTATAGTATAACTATACTGTTCTTTATTATACAATTGAGAGTATTTTATACAACGGTTCAATTCCATAATAAATTATTTTTAGGTATAATATTATTATTGTTAATTATACCTTTATAATTATAAACATAAATTAATATGGAAACTTTTTGGTTATCTTAAACTCCAAATCCACAAGACTGTTATAATCGACTACTATTGTACGGGTAGAAACTGAGACATATTTGTTAGTTGTTAGTGCTAATTTTCAAAACACACAATATAATCTTTAATATTTCATATTTTTCCTGAAAAACTGTTTTAATTTATGAAAAAAGTATAAAAATATTGGCCTAAGTTTAGCCTGACATAATTGTTATGTGGATTATATTGATTGGTGTAAACACCATTTCTTCGATTGTGTTCGAATATATTAAAAATTATTTCTGTAGCAAGGAATAGATAACATCTAATAGTTAATTTTTGGGCGTAATTCAATTATACGAGTAAATGTGGGAAAATTAAATTGTATTTTAAAGATTTGTTCTTAATTTTAAACCGTACCAATTTAACAAAAAAATTAATTAATTACCAACATTTTAAAATTAATTTTAGAGGTTTTTAAGCGAATTCTTTCAATAATAATTATTAACTAATGGTCATTGCAATCACTTCGCTTTAACAATTGTATGCTTTGTGGTATTTTTAAGCAGTGCAAAACGTAGATAGTGTAAGTCTCAGAAAAATTACTAACCAAATATTCAATTTTTTATACAAAATGTATAATAAAAGTGCATGGGCGGATGTTCGGTTACATTGTGGATGGCTTGAAATGTTTACTTAACATAGAACCACAGAGAAGTTTCAATTTATTGGACTTTATGAGTGGGTTTAACTAATTTTAGTGGGCTTAGCCTCCGTACCCAAGTCGTTACCAATATCCGCCGGTAATAATGGTGATGGTAATTTGGTAGTTATAAGATGTACCTATGTATGATCTACTGCGGTTAAATACAAATTTACTACCCCTATTCATATATTTATGGACAAAGGTTCATAGATAAAATAATACATTTTCTCAAAATAAGATGAATATGATTTCAGCATCATTAAGGAATAATCCAATCATTCAGCCACAGTCGTAAACCATACCGTTTAAAATGACGGAAAAGCTGTTATTTTCTTTAATCTATGTTAGAGGAATAGTTGGGAGACTAAAATGTCCAACAAGTTCAAACAAATTTAAGTACCATTTCCATCCGGATCCATATCTAAAAATTTGAAATTCTGAGTGATGAGATGTACAATTTTTTTTTATCAGAAAGATGACTAATAATACAATTTCAGTACCTACCTTCTTAAATATTAGGTATTGGGTAATATATTTTTCAAAAATATAATCATTACAAAGTGGGGCAAAGCCCCTTAGCCAGATCTGGACCCACGCCTGTTCCTACCAAATTTCTATCAAAAGTATTTATCTACTTAGCTAAGACCTTCGATTAAGTACAAGTACCTTATACTTAACTATTAACATATAGTTAAAAATATTCCTGTATTTTAATAACATAGTTTTTTTTTCCAAATAATGTTTGTTTTTTTGATACACAATATTATAAAATATAGTGTGTAGTTTTCGATTGAAACATTATTGTGTTGAAGTTAACGCACCTTCATACATATCGTCCAGTGACCTTTTGGTCGGGCCTTACTCTGCTCCACCGCCGATCTAATTGTAGGACCAATCACTCATTACGAAAAATGGGTCAACCCATAAAAGAGACTTTTAAATTGTTTGGTTTACGCACCATGGTATTCATAATTTCTTTTTTTGCTCCCCTCTGACTTTTATTAAACTAAAGCCGTATACGCTTTTGCATGAAAATATTATCACATATTATTCAACAATACCTAATATTATAAGTTTGTATATTATAGTGACATTTTGTTTATGCAGTATTAAGTTAAAGCACCGGCCAGTACAGGTATATCTGTCCCCCAAGCTTTAAGATCTTCGCCAAAATTAAACTTTCCCATTTAAACTATTAGGTACACCAAATGACATACTTATCTGTAGTTATAAATTACATAGTTTTGCAAAACAACGTTGTGACCAATAACTGGTTTTCACTTTTACCTATTACGTCCACTAACAAAATTTAATTTTCTATAGAGCCCAAAAGAGTTTTGAAAAATTTAAATGCATTAAGACATTCAATACTTAAGTTACTAAAACTATAGTAGGTAACTTCAATTTAAGTTCTACGTAATTTACATATTATACTCTGAATATATTTTAGCGTTCCACTTGAACATTTTCGGAGTCATTTAACATTTCGGCGGTAATATGCCTTGCTGGTCGGTTTGATGTACGAGAATGTGGTTAAAGTGTATAAGTGTTAAAGTATCTGTATAATATTTGTCAATTTCACCAAGAGTGCTTGGGGGTAAAGAGTTCAAATCATTATATTGTATTATAACAAAGTTACGATAAACCTTATTAATGGCATATTTTGTGAGTATAAGTCATATTATTCGGATCAGTATAGGCTACAGTAGTCGTGACAGTCGTTCCATCTGTGATTTTTATAGTTTATTATTATTCAAAGATTTATTTTTATTTATTCATACAGCATTTCAAAGAAATAGATACTAACATTTAACTTAATATGGACAGAGATATTAGTGATATTTTGATTTAAAAAAACGAGATGGAACTATTACCACTCATGTAGTCATGTCCAGTCCTTTTAAATATTTATCGGAAGTGTGTTGAAAGTTGTTTTTGAATGAGAGTATAGTATATGTAATTCAGGCTCGACACATCGTTCAGTCGTTGATATTGTTGTTTTCTAATAGAAATGTTGATATTACATTATAATATAACATTGTGTTGTTTGGATTTTGTAAATAATCATTACTATATTGTTAAATGTAGTTTTAATTTTAGAGTTAAGTAGTATTTATTAGACACACACTCACATGCGCACTCACATATTTATACCTAAATAATATACACGTTTACTACCTATGTATATTGTGCTTAGTTTATAATGTTAGTTTTAAGTAATTATTAGGTACAAAGGTGAAACAGATCAGCTTAGTGATTTGTATTATTATTTATTAACAGTAATAATTATGATCGTTCATATAATAAGGTACCTATACCTATATTTATGTAATTATCATAATGTTACTACAACGGGTGATTTAGGCAATTATTATTTTTTTTAATATAATTTTTTTTACTTTTATAACCAATGACAGTTCTAATACCTACAGTATTACTCCTATCCAAACGTCTGTGTTTCGAAATTTTCGTATGTTTCGGATATTATTTTGATGTATCGGAGTGCGGCGCCTATAATAATACGGTCTTTGGTTGCCTCATTATATGGAATCCAATGTTCCGGAAGGTCGACTGTATTACGTTAAATGCACATAGTATATATTATTTGATACATTTTGTACATACATTTATTGTAAAACAATAAGCGAACGCATTTAGGTACCTACCTATACTATTACAGTGGTTTTAATTTCTGATAGTGGAATTCCTAGTTACACAGATTTAATTATAAACGAAACAAAGCCTGTATATACATTTATAAAGAAAAAAAATACCTCATACCACAGTCGTTTTGAGCATAAATATCACCATAAATATGGTGAGATGCTGCGGGTCAAACCATAAATTATAACTATCGAGCACGATAAGCTCCATCCGAAAGATGGCATCACATTAACCTGCGAAAGACCAATAAAACACTGATGTACAGGTCTAACGATTAACGGCACTGCTTTTGGTATATGGGCTCTCATTAGACAATAATATATGTTATGATATAAATAACGTGTAAATAAAATTATATATAGATGTTTTTTTAAACATATCGATGAATAGGATTGTGTAGAGTAATATTATGTATAGTATTTAAAATAAATCACTTTCGGGTCGGGTAGTGATATCCTAAAGTATTTTTTTTTTACCTCAGTGGACGGAAAATAAATTATTTATATATCATGTTAAATTATACGATAATAATATTTAAGTACAATTATAGTATAAAAAAGTATAAAAAAATTTTTTTTTTTAAATTGGGAAAGGAATTTAATATTTTTTTCTATAGTTTTAGATACTTAGTATATTATTATATATTTATATGTAATACTATAAACATAAACCTGTGATACATTTAAACTTATTCTTATACACGTCCTAACTGTATTAATTGTATTATTATTATTATTATTATTATTATTAATTATTATTATTATCATTAAATTATTATTATTATTATTATCATTATTATTATTATTATTATTATTATTATTATTATTATTATTATTATTGTCTTAAAATTAAGTAAACAATATTATTTAGTTTGTAGGACATTTTTACATTTTTACGTTGTACTTTCTAAGTTATTTTAATAATATACATTTTTATAAAAATATATACATTTATACATTATAAATATTACTTTTTTTTTCGATTATCAAACAAGTGGTATGTAGAAATTAACGCGACATCATAACTCTTTTTATAAACCATAATCATGGAAAAATTACAACACCAAATATGTGGAATTATCCTCAATCTTAATCCGCATATGGATATTTTATTCACCACCAACTCAATTTGTATTGCTAATAAAATAAATGACATCATAAGAATAATGTGTACACGAATAGTGAAATTCAACTCTGGTTAGTATAATGGTAAATAGTTAGTAGGTATTGTAATTCAATAATAAAAAGACGTTGGTTGGTTTATTTTAAATTTTGTACTAATTTACAATTTTATTTATTCCCAAGAAATTGTGTTCATATAATATGTAAATACTACTCTTGGTCGAAAAAGTGTACACCAACACAAAAGATTAAGTTATAAGCTCGAACATAAACAATCGTTTTATATTAAAGTGTATTCTGGTCAACGAATAACAGTAAAATGGATAGGATGTGTTGTACCTATATGATTAAAATTTATTTATTTTTATATTTTAACTACAAACAATGTTCATAAAAAAAACACTATTATAAATGGCTGATCAGATATTTGCTTTAAAATATTGGGTTTTTTATCCCTCGTACACTGTATCACAATTCTTATTCTGAAAGGTAATAATCATAATTTAGAAGTATAGATATGTAGTATCTAACTAGATTAGTATCCAATATCTAAATATAAGGTAATAGGGATGAACTTGTGATGTTTATGTCAAACTGACAAGAGTAGTCTACGTATAAATATTATATGATATAAAGTATAGAGTTTAGTTATAGGTATTATTATTAGCATTAATAAATTTTTTCCTATCAATAAGTTATTAATGCACAATGCAATGCATGAAGGTGCTAAAAAAATATTATGGTTTCTAAGTTGGTAATTAATAAATATGAGAAGTTTAAATGGACGAAAAAAGCGAATCGTTGATAGGTGATCATTGTAGTTGGTATTCAACTAGCGTTTATCTTTTTTTCCACCGATAAAAATAAGAACAAATAAATAATATATAGGTACCGACGACTTATACTGTCTTTAATAATATGTGTGGAAGATAAATGGTCGTAGTACGTACCGTTGTGTTGTATATTGTTTAAAACTTTTTGTAGTATGTTCTGTTTTGTCACGATAAGTGGATAGCATCGTGTGATGTAAACAAAAATAATATGAAAACTTTTGAAGCAACTCGTTTGTTATTAGGGTTTGTTCGTATAGTTTTAAAAATGTTGATCAAATAATTGTCATGGTGTTATATGTTTTGTCCATGAACACATCTTGTGAGTAGAAGAAACGGTTAAAACCAAAAGCGTCATAAGTACAATCCAAACCTATTCGTTTGTTCGGAAATATGGCACACTCTCTACTGTTTAGAACTAATAGAAGTAATTTTAGTGCGATTTTGAGTTGGTATGATCTCTGAGCGATTTGAGCGAAACTATATGAAACATAAACAAAAAAAGGAAGTTTGTATACTATTATATGGACTGTAACTGTAAAATATCCGAACATTTGTTGAGCAATTTGGGCACAGTGAAAAGAAGAAAATATTGAAAAGTTGTATTACGACGTATGTCACACAAGTACACTACACCCACACTCACCCTCACCCACCAAAAGTGGATAACTATACCGTTCAATTTGTACGAAAAAAAACCGCAGTAGTTGGTTTATACTGTTTATAAGTATATTATAATAGTCCATACCCACGTATATGCAGATAGCGATGGCGAATGTTTCTATAACAATATTATTATTATCCTTGCTAATAATACCTATTTAACAATATTACGATGTCCCATAAGCTATACGCCTTATAATATGAGTAATACTCATGGCTTAAACATACTAGGTTATTGCAATAGTACCCTCACTTAATCATTGATCACGTCAAGGAATTAAAATGGCAGCCTAAGGAGACGACCTATACTTAAGCTATGGACTGTACCCTTACATTGCCATTTTATTTTGTTTGATAACAATATATTAGGCCTATGTGCAATAACTTTGTATATTTAACCCATGATAATACTTGTATGCTTAATATTGAAATTGCTTTGAAAATGAATTAAAATTTAACATTTTGTTTTTGTTTGTTTCCGTGCAGTGATGACTGACTCTACTATTCCCTTCAATTTAACGGTCCAGAACACTATATGTGCATACAGGAGAACAGCAACACGCAACAATGAAATCGCAAGCTCAGAGCTGTCTCTCCCCACCAGCTGACCGCTCGGCGATAGGTCATAAAATCATGCTCCACTCCATGGATATACCACAAATGCAGGATAATGTTTACCCGGGAACCGAAGTCTGAAGTTATCTGCCGGACAGATGCGGCAGAAACACGTCCACCGCCGGTGGGAATTGGGAATAATCGGTAAAACGTTTCCGGCCATACATAATATATTCACTGCGGATATTATATTGTAACCAGACGGACAATGCGCGGTATAATATATATGTGCCCCCGCCTATACATATAATTATACCTACAACCGTGGTATAGAGCATAAATATGTAATACGGCGGCACACGAGCAAAGTACTTGGAGCTGAAAATGGTTTGCTCCGTGAAACCAGCTTATGCCAAGGCCATATACGGTGGTATTATGGTCCTCATTCAGGAGAACAATGGACTGTCATAATGTCGACGGTTTGACATGTTGAATTTTTTTTTTCTTAAAAATAATCACACAAAATTGAAAATGTAATATTATCTATAGGTACCTAATGTGTAAAATATGTATATTTGCAAATAAACTGTGTATATAAACTTAAAATTATAAAACTTTGAAATTATATTAAAATGTATATATTATAACAGGTACCTATAACCAATTGTTTTTTTATTTTTTATTTGTTTGTTTGTACATACTACCAGTGGCATGCCCAGGAATTTTCAATGAGGGGGAGATAACAAATAATCATGGTTGGGATCTTATGGCAACTAAAATTGCAAACATTTGAGCTTTAATATTACTTTAAATAACACTAAATATGTTTTTAAAATAATAAAATATGCAATAAAAACAACAAAATATGCAAAAATTGAAATTTTAAAACAAAGTTAAACACAAGTTAAGGTGTGACGAAAATAACTAAAACACGTCCAACCAAAAACACAACTAATATTAGTAGGTACACCAGTCGACTGTGTTAGTACAGTATATAGGAGTGGCGGGCTAAAGGGCTCAATTTTAATGCAGCTGCGTCAACTTTTCAACGGGGAGGTGCCATCTCCTGACTGTCGAATAGAAATACATGCTAAAACTCGACCTCTTGGATCGTTCGACCATATTTTATTTACATCATACTTTGCTATAAGTAGATATTGGTGGAGGACTGGAGAAGTGGTGATGGTGTAAGTACTAGTACTTAATTATGAAAATGCGTCATTTTTAAATTGTAGTTCAGTCCGCCACTGCCCACTGGTGTATAGTAGGTATATCTTATATATAATAAATATACATATAACACCTTCAACACTCGTTCGAAGATAATCGTGGTCGTAAATGATAAAAATGGAATCCATCAAAATCAACAAATAACAAAGTTTAAAATTAAAACCATAGACCTTATACTATACTAGATAGGCAATATGAGAATATGGAAAGCGTAACAACATAGATAGGCACTTTTTTATTGCCTACTCGATTGTTCAAACGAACAGTAGTGCGGGGTAGCAGGGATAGATATATAGATTATTGTATTTTTTTTTGCTGTGATAGCCTGTATCGCTGTGAGATATTGTTAAGCCTCTAGTAATGCTATTAAATACGAACTGATGCGTCCATGTAGTTGGTATTTTTACTTAATCTATATTTACTTTTAAAATTAGACAGTGATTAACACACGTTTATTAAAATGTTGTTTCCTAAAATATGACTAATTTCAATTAGAAAAAGGTCAAAATGTAAAAATAACTCTGAAAGTCCAGAAATAGCGCAACAATTAAAAAGTATATACAAAAGTAAAATGTTTGATTTTAGTTCCCTGAATTATGAAACAAATTTTAAGTTTAGGTACTCTACTATCACTTAAGCATTTTATAAAAAATATATGCTAATGCTTTAAAATCCCAAGCCTGGTAATAATATATTTAAATTAATAAAATTGTGGTGCTAGTACCAAAGACAAGAGATAAGGGTATTTATGGAACAGTGCGGGGATGACATAACCCTTAACTTCACCCTCTGGGCACTCCACTGAATATTATTTAAAATATATGCTGTAAGTTATCATATACATATTACATAATATGAGTAAATAAAATAGTTTATACATAATGTTGTATTGTATTTTATTTTTTTGTCATTGATTTCTATTTCCCATTAGTACCTATGAAAAACCATTGAAAAACTTTAATTAAACGTATCTTAAGGAGCAACAAGTAAAAGAAGTTCGCCAACTGAAGAAGAAATATTTGTCACTGAATATATGCACAAGGTATGCATATTATGTACACAATAGTAAAATATAACACTATTGATGTGTTAATATGATGATAACTAGG